AGTAGTAGTGGTACTGGTAGTGGTAGTGGTAGTGGTAGTGGTGGTAGCAGTAGCAGTAGCTGTAGCAGTAGCAGTAGCAGTAGCAGTAGCAGTAGCAGTAGCAGTAGGAGCAGTAGCAGTAGCAGTAGTAGTAGTAGTAGTAGTAGTAGTAGTAGTAGTAATAGTAGTAGTAGTATTAGTGGTAGTAGTATTAGGAAGAAGAAGGAGTGGTAGTTGTCTACGGTGATGTCTCTAGGTGAGGTGCCTCAAGCACCGGTGCTGTGCATGTTTCCGGCCTGGTATTCTTGAACATATGTATACATTTGTTTTTTCTTTGTTCTGTGCTTTCTTCACTCGCAGTGCCGAAAATATCGATTCAGCGGAAATGCCGATCAGTTTACCCGCGCGACTTACCTAACACGAAACTCGATGATGGTAAACAAGACAAACGATAGATGTGATTGTGACTATGAAGAACATCATGCTTTTTTTGCTGAGAGTAGGCTCATGGTTGTCACCATTCATACTACCCTGGCATTCTCGAACCCTGTGTGCTGCTTGGAGGGCCCAGAGGACTGAAATGGGGTTATAAGTATGGGTATGTACAGCGAAGAATAGCATACACAGGTCCCAATGATGACCCCTCCTTCTTTCAGAAGCAGACTTAAACACACACTTTCCTGGCTAGTAGCCGTTCCGCATAGGTCACATCCCAGAGCACCAGCAGGCGGTTCGATCTCCGAAGGATGCCTTGCATGTGAAAGACAGGGATGTACAGTTTCAGGCGATTGGACTTAAGGTTTAACCGGCGTCTATGGCAACGCCTACGTAACACGGTTCGGATCGGGATCTACGCCTGATGAATCAAAGCTTGCACCATGACGGACATGCAATCGGAACCCAGAGTCCGTGAACAAGCAGAAAGTAAACATACAAAAACAAGAGCTCGAAAATACAAAATTGGAACACTCCCCTCAAAAAAGGTACATATTGTTGTTCAACGGCGAAGGCCTAACCTATGATTGCAAGGTCGTTTGTGCTAAGTATCCCAAGATCAGCCAGAGTAGGGTCTTCGAGCTCGGTACCCTACACCGCACACCAGAACCCTAAACCCTAAACCCTAAACCCTAAACCCTAAACCCTAAACCCTAAACCCTAAACCCTAGACCTTGGAAAAAAGCAGCCAAAGCCCCCGAATCTGAGATTGCCCGGCCATTGCCATTTGCAATAAGCCCTGAAGTGGCATGAGCAGCTGATGCCCCGAAAGAAGACAAAGACATCATGGGATCACCTGCTGAGCCCAATGTCTACGAAGGAAGGGAAGACGAAAAGCCCTGTTGATGTAGGAACCTGAGGACAAAAAACAGTAGAAGGCTGTAACATGAGCACAGCTCCTTAACCACGCTCCTAAACCCTAAACCCTAAACCCTAAACCCAAAACCCTAAACCCTAAACCCTAAACCGTCACCCTACAGACAGGTCTCCTCCCATGCTGAGGACGCCCTGTGCCTTCAGTTGCTGATCTCCTGGACTGCGGTTTAACGCGGACAGGCCCTAAAACTCTAGGCCCTAAGCCCTAAACCTTATAATCCTAAGCCCTAAACCCTAAACCCTAAACCCTAAACCCTAAACCCTCAACCCTAAACCCTAAACCCCAAACCCCAAACCCCAAACCCTAAACCCCAAGCCCTGGCCCTCAACCCGAATCCCCTAAACCCAGGGCGTTTCAAAGATCTGTGCTGGGTGCACCCTGACTAACCAAGCACACATATCACAAAGACGGTTCAGGGCTCAGGGCTTAGGGGCCAAATGCACTATGCTGCTTTAGGGCTGATGGAAGCCTGAGGGTAGGGTTTGGAATTTTGGGGTGAGGGGTTTATATAGGCTGAAGGTAGGGATGATGATTTAGGGATGAAGGGTCTAGGATTGCTTTAGGGCTTGGGGCTTAAGATAAATCTGGAATTTCTGGTTCAGGGTGCGGTTTAGGTTTCGGTGCCACATTCACCCTGTCAGTGTCCTTGGTGTATGCAGCACACATCGAGGAACACTTTGTCCTGAAGCAGTGCGTCTGGATAACTGTCGGCGGAACGTCTGTTTCTTATGGTTTGGGGGTTAGGATGTCCATTGCATGCCGACGGAGCACCTGCACTATTAGCTACACGCCAAAGGCCTTCTTCATCCACAATCAAAGGGTACACATGGGTCGCATCGGGTCTAACGCTGGAAATCCCAAATGCCGACAAACACAAGCCACTAAGCCCATACCCGAAGCCCTAAACGCTAGCAAATCCTGAGCCATTCATGTCTGAAGAGACTGGGAGTCAAGGGTCTAAAGTCCATCTTCTAGAGGTGTCCTAACCTTTCTGTGCGGCTTGCATCCGCCACTCTACAAATCACTAGGAGCCCTAGGAAAAGTAGGCCGGAAGACTAAGCCAAGAGGCACACAACCTTTACAGACACGCACACACTGGGTTTGGGGTTTAGGATTTAGGGTTTAGGGTTTCGGCTTTAGGGTTTCGGCTTTAGGGTTTAGGGTTTAGGCACACAGCCATTGCACGCACGGGGGGCATTCCCTAAACGAGGGTCCATTTAAGGGTCCTTGTTACAAGAGTGGTGTGACAGGGTTTCTCCACAGATGCCATACCCTAAACCCTAAACCCTAAACCCTAACCCATACTTGCGCAGATGGATACCAAAGCGGAACTCAGGGATCTCCTGTTGGGGAAGGGCCAAACTGGAGAGCACCCCGCCTGCAAACCGACCCTACCATCCCAACATCAAACAGCAACCTCCCTGAAGGTTTAAGGTTAATCTTGCTTCCCAAGCCAGAGAAATCAAAGGCTAGATTTTCAGATTACTACGAACTTATAAGGGCCCAAAAAGTTTTCAAGGTTGGGTGCTAGGGACATTTGGGGGTTTCCGAAAATAGGGGACCCCAATATAGCACCCTAAATAGTAGGATCCTTATTATAAGGACCCCAAAATAAGGTACCCCTAATTTCGGAAACTCCCATTTAGTATTGTTTGGGGACTAAGGGGCTGGGAGCTTGCAGTTCAGGAGTCCCAGGAGTCCCCGTTTGAAACAATGTAGGGTTTAGGGTTTAGGGTTTAGGGTTTAGGGTTTAGGGTTTAGGGTTTAGGGCCTTAATAGTTAGAAGAGGGTGTTGGGGGGGGTGTTCCTTTCAAGGGTTCTATAAAGGGTGCTATAAGGGTCTAGGGTTTAGGGGCCTTCATAAATAGACTAGGATTTTGGGGTATAATATACTCTACTTGGTACTTGCTGAGGCCTCTCTATTACTTCCCGTCCAGGGCGCCGAGTGTGGCCATTTTACAAGAGCAGCCAGATAGCCGACCACACCAAAGGCGGTACTCCAGAAAGACACCTCATAAGGACTTTAGGAGGGACCCCAAATAGGGACCCTGAATCCCACTGCCTTGAATAACCATTGTATAGTCCTTATATACCCCTTATATAGCCAGGTAGTCTCCATATTAGCCCCAATAACCTACAAGGGTCCCTATTAAGGGTCCCTCCTAAAGCCCGTAGACAACCCTAAACTCTAAACCCTAAACCGAACCCTAAACCCTAAACCCTAAAACCTAAACCCAAACCGGGTCAGCTGGGATCTCCTACTCCTTGCTCTGATGTGTTGCTCTCTGAAAAAAACGACGCCAAAACTGCTCCCTGGGTACTTGCGTGGTGTTATGTCCACTTACCCATCGGCCCCATAGTAGTTCCTTTATGGGGTTCATATCTAGAATTCTAGAAGGTAATCCCAAAAAGGAACTACTAAGGGGCCTATGGGTATAGAACTACACATTTATTGTATATGGGTTATTATGAATACAGCCCTAAACCCCGACACCCCGCTCCCACTACTAAGCCCCACTGTTTACGAGCATATGCCTCACCACCCGAAGAACCTGGAATGCAATATTCTCAACTCTGACACGGCCGGAAGTCTACAAGCACACCGCAAGCCGTAGTAAAGAAGCCCCAGTAATTTACACTTGCGCCCTCGGCTTGCGGGCGCTTTCCGATGCCCTTTTGCAAAAGTCTCGCACATCCTTCAGGGCCCCCATCCTTCACCTACAACCCTAAAACCCTAAACCCTAAACCCCAAAGCCCCAACCACCCAAAGCCAAGCCTGCAGCCGAAGCCTTAAATCGAACACAACCTCCTACATATATCCCGTATACCACCGAAAAAACCAAGGAACAGAGAACCCCATAACGACTGGGTCTCTTCTTCAAACCCGAACAACCTCCTACAATGAAGGTTTAGGGTTTAGGGTTTAAGGTTTAGACCATTTAATTAGCCCTGAACCCTAAAAACCCCACGACACCCAAGCAAAGAAGCCCACCCTGCTTGAGACCTAAACGCCGCAAGCGCAACCCCTGGAATCACCAAAGAAAGGATTCAGCGTATAGTTTCGGAAATACAGGGCGCATCACCCATGATTCTTGTCGAGCCACTGACAGAGCAGCAGGAGGCCCATGCCCACTGTAGGGGTTTTGGGTTCAGGGTTCAGGGTTCAGGGTTCAGGGTTCAGGGTTCAGGGTTTAGGGTTTAGGGTTTAGGGCCCTCAAGATGGGACATCCCATCTGGGAACTGCAGGCCTAAACCCCCCCAAAACCCCATGACCGTAACAGGCCTAAACCCCCCAACCTTGTGACCCTAAACCCTAAACCCTAAACCCTAAACCCTGAACCCAAACCCCCCCAAAACCCCATGACCGTAACAGGTTGTAAAATGTCGAACCTTGTGACCCGAAGGCCGTAAACGGTGTGAAGCACCTGAGAAACCCTCGTAGAATCCTGAAGAACACTGTGAAACCCTATCAAGCCTCTCCCAAAGCTGCCCAGGGGCGTTCCCACCAAAGCCGAAAGACGAAGGCAAGATCTGAGGTTTCACGAAACTTGTATATGTTGTTTCTTTGTGTTGCGGGTTCTCTTCTTCCTAGCCTGAATTGGTGAGTTGAAGAGCTTAAAAGGTTCACAGGGTACTTGTAGCAAGTTTCCATACGGTCGCTCGGGGATTTCGGAGAATGTACCCCGGCGTTCATTATAGGGCATCCGGCGTAGAGGTGAAGGTAGGGGCTCGTAGAAAAGCTGAAAGTCCATGTAGAGCAGGCATATGCAGGCATTCGCCATATCCTCCTTACCGGTTGTTTGACGGGATACCGATTCCACACGGTGTCACCGTACTTACTTCAGAGAACATGTGCGTGTGTCTCTGTTTGTGCAAGTTATTGCCAACATCTTGTACGTGCAGATGCGCGTATACAAGCAGGGCTGTGCATACAGTGACCCAGCGAAACTACTGCCGCGACTAGCATTGGTTCTCGCCCGTGCAATGGCAACACACGTCGTGGGACATCCACTACTTCAACTACATCAGCAACTAGAACTTGCACTACTTCTACTTGTACTTTTGCGTTTAATTACTTCTAATTGGGCTTTATGTGTACGTCTACATCTGCTTCTACGTCTAGGTGTACGTCTATGCATTTGCGCGTCTACACGTCTGCACCCACCGTTACTGCAAGTTCCACTGCTGCCACTGCTGCCGCTGCTTCCACTGCTGCCACTGCTGCGGCTGCTGCTGCTGCTCTTGCTGAACGTGGCATATCTCTTACATGTAGTAGGTTTTGCTGCAGTACCTCTGAACCTCTCAATGATCGACGGGTTGGCTGGTCATGCGCTTCATGTTGCCGGATTGTCGGTTGCCCGGACACTTCCTTCAAATGCTGCCTGCATGAAGGACAGCAGGAAGCCGAGCAAGGATAGGAGGGAACCTAGGACACGGGCTTCGGGGCTTCGGGATTTCAGGTTCGGAGGTTCGAAGTTCGAAGCTAGGGGCCTCGGGTTCAGTCTTTTCGTTGCTAGATTGGGCATTGAGGAGCACGACTCCCAGCCGCTCAGGTGAAATGCAGCATCGGGCGAAGCGCTAAGCGGCGCTAAAGCTCAGGAAGCAGTCACGGATCTACAGTGATTATGATTAGCAAAGCACATCCCGAAGTACTTTGCCCCGCACTGAACCCTAAACCCTAAACCCTATAAGCCCTAAACCCAAAAATAGAGCCCTAAACCCTAAACCCTATAAGCCCTAAACCCTATAATTAATTACGCCCTAAACCCTCAACCCTATAGATTATCTATAAACCCTAAACCCTGTAATCAAGCCCTAAACCCTCAACCCCATAAACCCCAAACCGTGCTTCAAACCGTCGGGTTCCATGGGCAAGTGCTCGGCCCGCTGGCTCCGAAACCCAGACTGCTACGGGTGCTCTCTATATTTGGGTTTAGGGTTTAGGGTAGTTCTCTATATTGGGGTCCCTTTGAGGGTCCTCTTGAAGGCTGCCGTACTAGTTTGGGGACCTAAACAGGGACCCTGAATTAGACAACCGTCAAGTTTTGATGGTTGAGGGCTCGTGGCTGGGCTCTCCCTAAACCCTAAACCCGAAACCCTCTAAACAGTACGTAGATGCCTAAATTCGGAATCCGCGCCCAGCCAGGATTTCTGCAGCTGGAGGGATGGAGAGAGTTTGCGGTTGAAGCAGGGAGCCATGGAAGACTCGAAGCAACCCTGCGCATGATCTACCGAAGTCTTCAACATGTTAGCATCATGAGTCATGAGTTGTAAACTTCCAAGAATACAAATAGCAACCAGGATAATGACAACTAATCAATTGTCGTTGGTACGATTGCATCTCATTTCGTACCCGGTTGCCAATTCCCGCAGCAGCGATGCCATTCTTCAAGAACAGAAGGCAGAGAACCTTTCTCCTCGGCTGCGCCGTATCGGGAAGACCATGACCCTAAACCCTAAACCCTGAACCCTGAACCCTAAACCCCAAACCGGGTTGAAAGTTTACAGGTCTGGGTTTCTGTCTTCGACTTGGGTCTTCAGTCTTAGGGTCTTAGAGTTTTCTGGGCTCTTGTTGAGGGATACAATTTGAGTTACCATGATAGGAACCTATTGTAAATAATATGGTTTCCTTATTTCGGCAACTTAAATTAAATCCCTTAATGAGAACCCATTTAAGGAGTTCAGAAATTACATTGGCACTCTCAGCATGCTGGAAACATCAACGCCGAAGGCCATGCAAAGGGGATTGACTCGCAACGGCCACCGGCGCTGTTTCTCTCAAGCCGATCATCAGCACAAGGTGGATGGATGATGATGGATGCCCTTTGTCTGGAAACGATATTTGCTGCTGCAGCAGCAGCAGCAGCAGCAGTAGCGGTAGCAGCCTGCAAGCGGCAGCAGCCCCACCGAAAGAAGTGCAGCACAGCAGAATCTAGTCGGAGGATATTTCTGAAATCGCGGACCTCTTACCAAACGAAATAAGTGGATTCCAACTGCGACCCCGTCTCCATGCAGCCTGATGCCAGGAGTGAGACCAGAATTCGTCGATGTTTTCCTGCACCAAACTCAATCAGAAACCGTAAGCCAAAGGCCCTAAACGGTCCTGACTATCTAATGTTTTCTTGGGAGGCGGATAAGATCGGCACCATGTTCCACACATGTAATCTAATATGGGCGCCTCAAGCCAGATCTGTTTTTTGGGGTATGTCCTGGTCCTAGTCTATTGACTCTATTTTCAAACAGGAATAACAGTGGTCGGGCTTCAGTGTTATGCAGATTCAGATCGAGGCCGTGAGGAGACTTGGAGCGAGAGACATCTATGTCTGCACGCCGCGCACCTACCTGCTCGAAGCCACAGCAGGCACTTCACAAAATGAACAACAAGAAACAAAGCAAAGCCCAAGAGCTGGAGAAGCCAGTACTTTGGAATACGTATCCCGAAACCCTAAAACCTAAACCCCAAACCCTAAATAACCCTAAACCCTAAACCCTAAACCCTAAATAACCCTAAACCTTAAACCCTAAACCCTAAATAACAAATGACCCTAAACCCTAAACGTATCCCGAAACCTGAAAAGGCTCAAGCACCAGTCCGCAAACACGTCAATCCCGAAGCACAGTGCCTTTTCCCGGCATTGGGTGCTGCGCGCATAAAGAGCGGCTTTGTCCTTGGCTACACAGTTTCCGGCTTCCCCGGTTTTTGGGAGCGAGGTTTAGGGTTTATAGCGTGAGAAGAAACCGCGCAGACCAGGGCTACGTGGACTATCGGACCGAGGGGTCCCAAAGAAAAGAACGACCTGAGAGTTCGAAGCTACCCATCCCATATGCAAGGTGTGTTCAGAGCTACAGCATCACCGCGCTGTCATTTCCGGTTCAGGAACCCTGAACCCTAGAGCTTAGCAATTCCCCAAAACCCCAAAATCTGGAACCCAAAACTCCGCATCCCTCGACTCTACCTAAACCCGTAAACCCCCAACGCACAACTCTAAACCCCGTGGTGACAATCAGACTTCTGCCTCTTCTGTGCTTATCGAGTCCAGGACTTCCCAGGGCACCCCACCTACGGGTTGAGAGAGAAAGAGAGAGATACCCGAAGCCTCCCTGAGAGACGGAGAAGGGTATATGTGAGTGTGTCTATATATATACACATACATATGTATATGTTTCTATATATATATATATATGCATGTATGGATGCATGTGTGTATATATAAATAAATAAATAAATAAATACAAAATATATATATATATATATATATATATATATGTTATAGGTATGTATTCGTACACTATGTACTCGCGCGTGTAGACATGCGGACGTGCACGCGGAAGTAGAGGTAGATTTGTAGGTACGGGTAGAGGGTAAGCGAAATCTGGATGACTGGATAAATGCTTACACTATAAGTAAATACAACAGCCACAAATAGGTGCATGTGTATATATATACACATATGTATATCATGTTCATGTTCGCTAGCTGTTTATAATATTGGCTTGGTGGGCTCTTGAGGTTTAGCAAGCGTGCCATGTCTGGATTCAGGGTTGTTGGTGCTGCGGGGTTGTGGACCCACTATTAGAAACATGAGTTTGCAAAGGATTCAAGTTGTCGCAGAAAGCCCTAAACCCCTAAACCCTAAACCCTAAGCAAGGGAAAACCCGTATCTATCCATAGGCCCCATAGTAGTTCCTTTTTGGGATTACCTTCTAGGATTCTAAATATGAGCCCCCAAAATAGAAGCCCTTTACAGGTGGGT